ACACACCTATATATATATATATATATGTGTGTGTGTGTGTGTATATAATTTTCAAATATTATGACATTTACTTGATTGTAACCACTGAACTTATATTTTGTTTGAACTGTACTTATAATATATTAACCTTAACTTTTGAAGATTAAGAATAAACTATAGAGCATTTCCAAAGAACTACCATCTTTATATTAGTCATGTGTAACTACTCTTTCTTATTCTTAACTTCTACTTCTACCTTAACTAAAAAAATTAAAAACTAATTACTAGCATAGTTGCCAGGTTTGTCATAGTATCCCAGAATATCATGAGTCACTTGCTTAAAGATACATATTTAGCTGGACGTTATAAGCACATCTTAATCTTGCTGTTTCTTTCAAAGACTTAAACTAGGCTTCTGTTTAGCATCAATCAAATATGCATGGACTGATCCTATATTGGAGAAGAAATGTTGATGTACAGAACTGTGCAAAAGTGTTAGGACAAGAGAATATTTTGTCATTCTTTCTATTTTACGGGGCAAATTCTTCCATGTCATTAAAGAATGTAAATTTCAACACTATGGTAAAGGTTCACAGATCCCTGTTGACAATTGAAAGAACCAGGGTGAGAATACTTATCATTCTTTAGAATTCCCATATACTTGTATCAAGGGCACGTCGTAAGGGTTCTGCTTAAATGAACATACTGATCAAATTTGGGGTATGAAATAACTGTCATGGTACCCTATGCAGCATCTTAACAATATAGAAAGAAGTTAGCAAGGAGCTAGCATATGGTACCAGTACAAACTAAAAAAAATCAACTTAATAGCACTCCACAAATAAACCTTGATAAAAACAGTATTTCACACTATATATTAAATTTTTTTGTCATGCCACGGCCCAAAAAGCATAGAGAATTGTCAGTAGAGCAGAGAGTTTGCATAAAAGCTTTACGTGATGCTGGTTGGACTCTCTGACAAATTGCTGCAGACTTGAAATGCTTCTCAAACACTGTCAATTACACACTAGATCTTGAGCCCAAGACAGGTAAATTTGAAAATAGGAAAGGAAGAGGCAGAACACCTAAACTCAGTGATACTGATGTTAAGTATCTTTGGGACAAACGGAAGACTGCCACTAATCTCAAGCATGAGATAAACAACCATGTACCGAATCACAGAAAAGTGTCCAGATCTACATTATCAAGAAGACTCAATGGGCATGGTATATTTGGTTGTGTAGCAGTTACGAACCTTTACTTTGAGCTCCAAATATTGTCAAGAGACTGAAATTTACTAAAAAGTACACAAGTTGGTCTGTTGATTATTTGAAAAGGGTGTTATAGATGGATGAGTCCAAGTTTGAAATATTAGGTTCAAAGCGTAGATTGTACATCTAATAAAAAAAAAAAAAGGTAGAAAGATACTTACCTCAATACATAGTACCTACCATGAAGCATAGGGAGGCAGTGTGATGGTTTGGGGGTGTTTTACTGCTTAGGTGACAGGAGATGTTTGCAAAATAGATGGAATAATGGACCAGCGCAAGTACCATCAGATATTGATCCGTCATGGTATACCCACTGGTTTGTGTATTATTGGTAAAGGATTCTAACACTCATCCAACCTATGCAGAAATTGCTTAGCCAAGAAAGAAGCTGGTGGAATCATTCAAATGATGCAATGGTCCCCACAGAGACCTGATCTCTACCCAATTGAGCAGATCTGAGATTTGATAGATCTAAAACTTGACAAATTAAAAGTTACTTCCAAATAAACTTTATGGGAGTGTATTAGAGACATTTTGAGTAAAATTCCAAAGAACACTTTGATCAAATATGTTGCAACAATGTCTGAAAGACTGTCTTCAGTTATTAAAGCAAAAGGGGGCACACAAAATATTAACTGTTTGCTGAACTCAAGCACTTCCACTGAGTTTCTGTTGTACTAAATATGAAGATTAATAAAATTTTGATGTTTCATCTGTGATTTACCTTCCATTATTCTTTGAAAGTAGCCTAAAATCTAATTTTTGACTTTGTCCTAACACTTTTGCACAGTACTGTGATTTCATATTTACTATGTGTAACTACATGAAATGTTACAAACTTTTAATGAAATGTACATATCTATTGTATACAAAAAACAAAAACAAATGTGTTACAAAAGTATTTTAGTCAAGATTTGTCTGTGAACTGACGTCAGTTTCTGTGAAGAATAAAAATACTTTTGCCCACCATACAGTTTGCACATTGCATTTACACAACCTCTAGGACCTTCAAAATGCATATTTGCAGGTTTTTCAGTATTCCTGTATATTTTGTACATACTCTTCTCTATCACCAACTGTCACTAAATCAGTAATGTAGATTAAAATTAGTAGTTGATAATTCTGACATCAAGTACATAATACCATGTTGAATGGCACTCTGTAAAAGTTCATGATGTGCACTTTGACCTCCACCTGTGCACATGGGTTAAAATAGGTAGCTTTGCAAATGTTTTGATAAAGATGTAGTATTTAAATTAACGTAACTGTGGAGTGTTGGAAAACGTATCATCCACTCTAAAAAGAACCATTAGATTGAACATATACATTATAGTAGGATATTTTAAGTGTGTGAATTATTAAATTAATAAATTAGTTCTGTGCTTGCCCTATATGTTTTTATGTAATATACATATAACCTATTGAACAGCAATGCAAATATCAAGCAAAAATCTGATGGACACACTGAGTGAAATGTATGAACAGGAATGGATAGGACATGAACAAGTGCCAGTACAGGCTCAGGTTGTGAACTTCTTTTATTTACTCTATCTCTCCAAGTTTTTGAGTTTGTAAATGTAAATTGAACATAAATTGATTGTGTTTTTCCTTATTATTTCAAGTATTCTGCTATTTTGAACTTATCAGGAATGAGAGGTATGAATTTTTAATTTCGATTGAGTATGATAGGTTAGCCATAGAAATTTACAGAAAAACACTACATCATTGAAGAATAAAAAAAATCACAAGTTGAGGTTTTTTCAATAAATCTGAAGTATAACAATTAGGAATACCTGCCACTAGGGACCAGTTTAAGTTAAAGTATGCCATACTTACGATTTTGTGCTTGAACTGGCATGAAGATGCTCATGTGTTTTGTATGAAGAGTTTTTCTCTGCATTTTTTTTTTTTTTTTTTCATTTGCAGACATTGTCTTTTTGGAAATTTTAAACTTCTTTAATAAGAAAACCTAAATCTGAAATTTTGTGTAAAAAAGGACAAGTACTTTTAAACTGTGTAAGCTAAAAAATATATTCAGAAAATAAGTTAAAAGACAATTATTGCTTCTTCATTGAATCCTGTTGAATAATTCATTAAATACATTATTGAATTTTGCATTCTTTAAACAGATAGTTTAACTGAAGAAGGAAGAGAGAGAAAAGTTCTCTGTTGTTCCTTTCCTGTACAGAAAATGAATGTTATTAATGTAAATTTTTATTAACAGTGCCCTAAACAAAAAGATCAAGCTTCTGATTAACTAGCTTATGAATTTGTGAAATAATGATGGTATTTTATGTCATATGCTACTCTCTTTCTCCTTGTTTGGGGCGTGGCATGGCCATGTGGTTAGGTTGATCAACTTGCAATCTGCTGGTCATGAAATTGGATTCTGTCACTGAATATGCTTACTCTTTAAGTTTTGGGGGTACTATAATGTGTCAGTCAATCCCACTGATCTTTGGTAAAGAGTAGCCAAGTGGCATTAGGTAGTGCTGACAAGCTGTGCTTTCCATCTAGTCAAAATTAGGAATGGCTAGCCCTTTAGTAGCTTTTAATAAATTAAATAAACAATTAAACTATCTTTTTTTTTGTAATTGTTAATAATGATCAGACATTTGAACAAAAATTTAAGTAAAAGTTGTTGATTTCATATAGTTTACCTTTTCTCTAGCCCCCCCCCCCCTGCCATAGAGAATAAAGAATTTAAACTAGTGCTTATATTGTTCAAGGTAAAAGTTATCTAAGCAGAAGAATTATGGCAGTAAAAATACTTGTGTTCAGATCATGCATTTTACAGATTGATACTTAAATCTTTTAATATTAATAATTAATAAGTTTTTAGAAAAACTTTTCTCTCCTTATGTATATTCAGTAAATATCATTTAAATAGGATATTGCAGAGCTATATTAAATATGTATTTTAAAAATATATATAAAGATTTAATTTGTTTAATTGTTAAGTTTTATAGTTGATAAAACCAACACTTGTCTCTTGAAGTGGTTTGTTCAGAAATTTGAAATCCAGGAGATAAAGTCATACTGTGATTGATGTAGTGAGATTGATCAGGTGCAGTAGTCATTTGAGTTTTAACTTGCTGTGCATTTACAGGTTTTCAAACTTTTAAAAAGTATATTTTATTTTTTATTGAAGCTTTATTTATTTTAGAAATTAGAAAGTATGGTGGAAGATTTTTGCCATAAATTGAATGATCAGGTGACAGTACCACTTGCAACTTACATGAACCAGTTTCCTGATGTTCGGGTAAGCTAACACAAATGTGTAATAATGAAGTTTAATGTCACTAACTGAATTTTACTCCATACCACACTTAGTATTGAAAAAGTTGTTTTTTTACTATACTTTGTGAAGAGAACAGTTGTAAATTGTTATAGATTGTTCCAAGTCTTAGTGCTGAAATTTATTGGTAACTGCAATATACAGGTTATTTTATAACTAGTTGTTTTAAAATATATTGGGTACATTATATGTTTAGTCCTTTCCAGATCAGTAAAAATAATTGTGTTTTGAAGTACATTACTACACTTTGTTTTATCTTGACTTTCAAAGTAAATATTGTTTTTTTTTAATGATAATTACTTATTTGTGTTTTCATAATCAAATGAGCTCATCTATATACTACTAAAACTCTGAGATTGTTTGTTTGTTTGCTTGTATTTAATTAAATACAGCAAATACGGCATACAATAGTGCCATATTTGTAATGAAATGAGAATAGAAACAGAATAAAACAAGTTTCGTTAAAATTGGGCCACGGGTTACCAAGTTAGCGCCATTTTTCATATCACTTTTATGAAAATGTCTAGATGAATTTAGGTACACTAGATGGCGTCACATATCGGTTTATCTATCTATCTATATACTATTAAAACTCTGAGATTGTTTGTTTGCTTGTCTGTAATTAAATACAGCAAAAATGGCACACAATAGTGCCTTATTTGTAAGAATACAGTGCCCCCCTGAAATGAGAATAGAAACAGAATAAAACAAGTTTCATTAAAATCGGGCCACGGGTTACTGAGTTAGCACCATTTTTTGGGTCACTTTTATGAAAATTTGTAGCATGAGTAATTTTACATCACACTACCATTTGCGCTCTTTACGAAACTTCTTTGTTCAAATCTAATACCCTGCCAATGTTCCCATCTTCAATAAAAGGCGTCAGATGACAAAAACAAGATCTTGAAG